GCTTTTACCCCCATTTTATCTCAGGGACCTGCTGGGCTGCAGACTAGACCTGCTTCCTAGTTTTCCACGTTCTCATTTGCAGCCACATGAATTTTCACAGGCTGTCCCTTCTCTAGTCTTTAGACGTGTTGCTGCTTAGAGAAGTAGGTTGGAAGGAAGAGAAAGTAAACCTGCAGATCTGATCATTTTGCTGCTTTAATTGACTAGAAGTTGTCATGGAGGAGTTAGTACCTAAGGTTTATATCAAAGTTATTCACATTGTTCGTGTCCCTTGTTACCATGTGCGTTCAGAATTGGCCGTATACTTTTAGGCAGAAATTCCACAAAAGGGAATTTAATTTCAACCTTTTGGTCTCCATCCATGACAATGAGAATATTCTAGGAAGCATTCCAAATTAGAGGATGACAGCTCAAAATAATTATTTCTTCCTATTAGAAGCTCCTTGCGTCAGATCCACCTGTGGTAGAACATACAGGGAGAGTAAATTGAAGATCTAAAAGATCCTGAAAAGATGCAGAGTAAGCCACGTACACATTTAAAAGTCCTCCAGCATACACAGGAGGTTATTTCTTTAGTTTTTCTGCTGTTGAAGCCCATTTTCCCCCAGGGGGAAAGTTAAAAAAAAACAAAAAGCAAAAAAGACAAAAACAAACCCTGTTGGGTGGTAGGAAAGGGAAAAAGTTATTGTTCTGCCTCTGGTGGAGTCTTAAAACTTGCTTTTTTGCATTTTTATTTATTTATTATATTTTTCTATAAAGAATATTTTCTAAAACATGTTTATCTTTTTCAATTGTGATAAATTATACATAGCACAAAATTTATCATCCTAAGCATTTTTAAATGTTTTTAATGGATTAAGTGCATTCATGATGTGCATTACCCGTATAATAAGAGAAGATATTTTTAAGTGGAGACGGGGGTAGGACAGGCTGTGAAATAATCTTGACCTCTGTTTTGAGCAAAAGCCTGTGTGGCTTAAGAAGGCTGTAAAATAATCCTCCATCATATTCCTGAACTCCATCTTGATATGATTTTACTCAGTACATAATCAGCACACCTTTATTTCTTATTGGCTGAAATTCCTGGATGTCTGTTTCCCACGTTTTGGCTCCTTACGAGTGGAACACGTAGCTGAGTAGAACTAGAGAGTTCCACGGCAGAGGGCTAGTGAGACACGCACTGAGGGTTCTGGAGGAAGGAGAGAAGCAGCGTTCAGGCTCCCGTCCCTCTGCGGTCAGGTAGGTTCAAATAAGGAGCATCTGTAGGGGAGGGAGGAGGAGAAACAGCTACTGTGGAGCCGCAGCGGGGCCCTGCGTCTGCCTTGCCCGAGCCTAGCCTGTGGGAAAGCTGCGCTGTTGCCCTCTGGGTAGCACGAGGACTTACCAGGTGCGCCCAGTGTGTGGGCCTCGGCTAGGCCAGACACTCCCGTCTCCTTCTGCATTAGGATCTCGTGTTCAGTTAATGCCATTCTGCAGTCAGAATCCTGTTTCACCTAGTGAGAGAATCTCGATCCAGTTATTTTATATTTTTCCTTGATTTATTTTTGATGTATTTGAATCTTAACTTTAAAAAACCAGCCTGTGTACCGCATCTTCTTGATTATTTCTGTTATCTAAATGGATGTGATTTCTTTTTCAATCTTCTCCTGAATAGGCTTGTGTCTGGAGAAAAGAGTCTTCTATAAACTGATATCAGGACTTCATGCTAGCATCAATTTACATCTGTGCGCAAATTATCTTCTGGAAGGTAACCAGACTTTTACATAGAAACTTTGCCTTCTATTAGTATAAAAATTGTTGGGGGAAAATAACATACTCTCCACAGAGGAAAAAACATTCTGTTTATTAAAAGGATGTCATGTATCTCTCTTTCTCTTTAGAAACCTGGGGGAAACCTAGCTGGGGACCTAATATGAAAGAATTTAAACACCGCTTCGACCCCGTGGAAACCAAGGGAGAAGGTCCAAGAAGGCTAAAGAATCTGTACTTTTTATATTTAATTGAGCTTCGAGCTTTAACAAAGGTGGCCCCCTACTTTGAGCGCTCAGTTGTCGACCTCTACACGGGAAATGTGGAAGACGATGCGGACACAAAAGCCCTTCTGCTGAGCATCTTCCAAGACACCAAGTAAGAGCTGAATTACCAGTCAGTAGTCTGAAGTGCTCCGCCCTGCAGCTGGGCGGGGTGGGGCTTGAAGTGCAGCGAAGGCCGCCTCCTGAAGGCTGGGAGGAGGGGCCAGAACCAGAGTGTACACGGAGTGGCGGCATTTAAGCGTTTTTCTAAAAGTGATGACGGAAAAGGATCCATAAAGCATTGTTGTATAAACTTTCACGCTTGAGAATAGGCTGTATTTTTGAATATAACTAAATTTTATGTAGTCTCAAAATTTAATGCTATTTAAATGTTCTTTCAACTGATTTTGATTTCTTCCAGTTGCTTTTAAAATTCACATGTAGTGCGTGTTAGCCTAACGATGTATTGTCTAAGGGAACACTAACCTTACTTTCTGTAAGTCTAACTTTAAACCAAAGTGCTGGGTCTATGAAACTTAAGTTTATTGATGGTTAAAATGATCGTGGAGGAAAGTTGGGTTAAGAAGTGTTTAAGGTAAATTACGCATTACATTTCAAAAGATATTTACATTTATGTATATAAATTGTTTTTAGTTAATTTTTTAGGTTATTTTTATCATGTAATTTTTTCAAAATGTTACAGTCTTACAAATCACAAAGCCCTTTTAATCTTGCTTGACTCTTTTATTGAATAGTCTGTTTGTGAACTGTTTGCCACTTTCCTACGTTACCAATCCTGACACATGAGTAAAGTGTGAATTTGAAAAAGTGTGGTATTTGTAGGAATAGAAGATGCCACCAGAGCGTGAATTTTTCGTCCGTAACTTACAGTATTGTCATCCCCAGGTCCTTCCCCATGCACTTTGATGAGAGGTCCATGTTCGCAGGTGACAAAAAGGGAGCCAAGTCGTTAAAGGTAAAAAGTTGTTGACTGGGGATCAGGGTGGGGGCAGTTTACTGGTTGTGTTTTAATCCCATTCATCTAAACTTTCTTCGCCAGTTCTCCATTTTGCTGAAGTTGGTCGGACTGGATTTTACTGTAGTTGATACAGAAACCTCTGCCTCCTTCCTTCTCAGCTCCTTTCTCCTTTCTAGTTTGACCAGCTGCTTAGTGAATCCTCAGTCATGACTCTGACTAATCACATCTTTATAAATGTCTTTTTAAAAGGCATCATTTTGAGAGAAAGTTTTCTTTAAAATCACAGTGTGCATTGCTGCTTTGATGCATCTCTCAAAAAAATCATGCACTGTTCGCCATTTTGAAGGCAATAAATAGCATATTTTCTAAATTTTATCTTACGGAATGTTACAGTTTTTGAAACTATTATGGTTTTGTCCTTATGGGGTGACATAAAAAGTAAAAGTTACCCGTTGACCTGTGATATCAGAAAGAAAATATACTTCAGGAACGTGCTGAAACTCGTGCTGGGAGCCCTGCGTTCTCCTTTGCTCACAGTGGTTAAGGAACATGGTGTCCCTGCACAGCGCTCATGAAAGCACTGCGAACTGCCTGACAAGTGGTTTTCTGCTACAGTTCTGCGATCTTTTTTTTTTAATATGCAGTTCTGAACTCCAGAAAGCTCCAAAACCTGAAGCATCTTTATGTTTGGTACATATTAGTTTGTTAGCAAGACTTGAGCTGATACAACACTATTTAGAGTGTTTTTTTTTAATTCTGCTTTGTATGAGTATCCTTACGTTCTGTTGCAAAAACCATTGTGTATTTGGTTACGTGGTGTTGCCGTGCACTCTGGTGGGTGTCTCATAATAAATGGTGTAGGTACTGTATCTCTAAAACCTACGAAACTCTGAATTCTGAAACACGTTTGGCCCCAAGGTGTTTTAGATGTGGATATGCTACAAGAACTAATAAACTAGCACTGAGTGGCTCTCCGCTGGTAAGAGTTTCTTGCTGTTTCTGAAATGCAGTAAGTTATTCAGCCACAACTGTATTTTAGTTTTGGAAGGTGGTTTTGCTTTATGGTTGTTTTAAAGGCGTGTTACTATTGTGATATCTAATATAACGTTGATCCATTTTTATAATACTTCCGTTTTCTAAGTGTTTATACAAATATTATACCTTTGATCTTCAGAACACCCTGTGCAATAGTAGATAAGACAACTGTGACTGTGTATTTTGTAGGTGAGGAGAGTAAGATTGAGAACAGACTAAGGTTTCACAACTAGGTGCGGGAAATTTTGTTTGCTGTTTTTCAAAGGTGTATAAAGGAGAACTTAAAGGTCCATTTTTCCATTTTCTCCAAAGAACATGAATTACATGAGAATGGAGAGCAGAGGAGTTTTGTGTTCTATTTATGTCGTCTTTTGGTCAGAGTGTTGATTCCTCTGAACCCTTTGGCAGCTGGGTGGGGCTTGTGATGGCCAGGTATTCAGGCGGCTCGCTCCAGTTCTTTGCGATAAAATGTTTGCCTCTGTCCAATAAGGTGATTTTTATGGCCAGTGTTTGCTATGCGAAAACGATGAGGAAACTTCTTAACTAGTGTTGTCCTCGGAGAAGGTGAGAATGCCCTTCGAGTCACGGAAACCCATACACAGATGCTCACAGGCGGAAGAGTTACCCAGCCGTGTGGGAAACTGAAACAGCAAAATCCAAGGACAGTAGGCAGGCAGGAGCCGCACTGGCCAGTGCTGGGGCCTGGGGGACCTTACTCTCCTGTAGCCCCAGGATCATCGTGCCCACGGAGCACGAGGGACAGGCAGGTGCGGTGCCAAGGAGGGAGACAGAAACCAGTCATTGCTCTCAGATGAGCTTTCTGACTCACACTCCCCCGAGGCAATGCATTGAAAATGGATGAAACACAGGTGTATTCCCCACTGGTGGTGTGCAGATGCCAAATGGGAGCAGTAGTTAAGCTCCTTCAAAGTAAAAAGCGTGTTATTTACTTCCGTGTCCCCCATAGTGTGCATATTGGTTCTTTGTATGGAGTAGCCCCTCAATAAAAAGTTTACAATTCAGTAAACTTAATTCTTAAATCTTAATTCAAAGATGTGGAATGAATTTTACAAACAACCATTAACGTTAGCTGTTTCATGTACCATGTCATGCGCTACACGTTCAAGTGTTTTTCTTCCTCACTGTTGAAAAACACAACTCATTCATTAATAAGTTTCCAAACTTTTATGTTTTGTAATTTAGACAAATGCATTTTAATTCTAAATGTCTAATTAGAATGAAAATATTTTCCACATGTTAGGAGGAATTCCGGTTACATTTCAAGAATATCTCCCGTATAATGGACTGTGTTGGATGTGACAAATGCAGATTATGGGGCAAATTACAGGTTCGTGTGTTGTCTTCTGTTCTGAAACTATCGCTAACCTTAAATTTCTCCACTGAGAAGTTGAAAGTTTTTATTAAAATGTCCTCATTCATTGAATTAGAAATGTGCTTTTTCTGTTTTAGTTATAAAAACAATTAATATTAAACGGTGTGTTTTACGTATGTGTGTGTAGACGTTTTCCTGTTACTCAAGGTTGGTGATTTTTGGCTTTACTGTATCTGTTTCTGCTGGTACAATCTCAGATTCATTTCTGAAGGTGGTGGTTATAAACAGAGTATATTAGTATTTTACATACCTACATAAAGGGTAAAATATAATTTTAATTTTATTTATTATCAATTTTTGGTCGCTGAATTTGTGTCAGTGATCCAGAGGAGGCCCGCTAGTCACAGAACAGGGCAGTTCTGCCGAGAGGCCCATTTCCCTGCGGACTCAGCGGGAAAAGGATTGTGTGATACTTTCTTTCATTTTTTAACAAAGGTGATAGTAAGTCATAGACAGTTAAGAGGCAGAATTGCATTAATGGAGGCTGCACTGAAATCAGATTTTTTTTCCTCTAGTGCTAATAATTGAGAAATTATTAAGTACAGGTCTCACTATACTTAAGCGTATAGTTTCTAAGTTTTGACTTGCTGGGGGCTGCGAAGAATGCTTTCCAGGTGACATACTGAACATTGTAATCCTAACGTGATATTTTCTAGATTTAAAAAAGGCATTTTAGTAATTTGGAAAAGTATGTGTCCAAAAACTGTTAAACTATTCAGGTTTCTCTAACAGCTTAGGTAAATTTATTGTATGTGTAATTTGTGAGGAAGTAGAAACTGTATTTTGTATAGTTCAACATTTTGGTGAAAAGTTAAGTTCATATGAATTTCCTGGCTCTCATCAAAGTGACTGGGAGTATTCCTTTAAACCTTTATAGTAGTTGTTATTGTATGAATTTAATTGCAAGTTTATCACTATTTTTTTCAGACTCAGGGTTTAGGAACTGCCCTGAAGATACTGTTCTCTGAAAAAGAGATCCAAAAGCTGCCAGAGAACAGCCCGTCTAAAGGTTTCCAACTCACTCGACAGGAAATAGTTGCTCTTTTAAATGCTTTTGGGAGGTAAGAACTGTGTTCCCAGTAGAGACTCTTGATTCCCCTGCTGGTTTCAGCAGACGGCAGAGACCATCGTCTCCTCTGCTAAAGTGGTTTGTTTTGCTGTGTTTTGTTGACATAGATGGTTACTGTGATACAGGGTCACGTCTGCACGGACAAGCCAGTTTCTCTGCAGGTTACAGGGAAAACTCACAGTCTCAGACGCCAGTGTTTCCCAGTTGGCCTTCTCAGTCTTGTGGGGAGATGTTCTCCTGACAGGACCCCCCTGGCTGGTCTCACTTGCTCCCGGGCAGCAGCAGGGGTGAGGGCGGTCTGGTTCAGACAGTGGGGAGGAAGAAGAGGTGAAACCTCCAGCTGTTCCTTGAGCTGCGGAGGCACTCGTTCTTGCCCTGTTTTCCCTCTGTATCCAGACAGACGGCCTCCTTAGACCACAGATGATTTTGGAAATAATTTGAATTTGCCTACAGAGGTGCATGCAGTACCACCTAACTACAGAATACAGACGAGAAGGCAAAGGACCACAGAAAAAAATAAGAGCAAACAGTACTGTGCTGCCCTGGGAAAAGGGCAGCAAAGTCAAATCAAGGAGGAATGCTTTTTAAAAAATAGAGAACCGAGTGATACAGAGATTCTTGTGTTTTCTTTTTTTTTTTCTCTTTTTTTAATTGGGGGGAGTGTTTGTATGCTAAGCACGCACTCTACCACTGAGCTATTCCCTCGCTGCTCTTGATGTTTTCTTAACATGCATTTTTAAGTTAGAAAGAGGCAGTTAGATTAAAAATAAGTTAATCCCCCATCTTAATAGCAAAGATTTCATCTGTCGCTCCTCTGTATTTAAAGATGACCATGTTGTTTGAGCTTTCAAACACAGGACAGACATAGAATGTCCATCGGTAATTGGTGTTTGATGAAAAATTCAGTCCACCCACTCATGAGGCCTGTAATAAGCTAAAACAGGAGAAATTGAACTAAATTTAAATTATTTAAAATGAAACTTTTAAAGATTTTAAACAGTTTAAAATTTTTTCTTATGATACACAGTATTCCGTGTATCAGTGTGTACAGTATAGTGATTCACAGTTTTTAACGGTTCTACCCCATGTATAGTTATTATAAACTGCTGGCCATGTTCCCTGTGCTGCACAGTGTATCCTTGTACTTATACGTAATAGTGTGTACCTCTTAATCTACTAACCCTGCCTATGTCGCCTTTCTCCCTTCCCTCTCTCCACTGGTAACCACTGCCTTGTTCTCTGTATCTGTGAGTCTGCTTCTTAAAACAAGTAAATTCAAATAAAATTAAATTGAGAAAGAAGCAGATGTTAACCTCCTCAGAATTGTTCTGAGTCTTAAAAGGAACACTCAGAAACTCGACACTTCCGGCTTCGGTTCTGTAGCTGGAGCCTGTTACTGCCTCTTACTGCTCTGCTCAGAGTTGGGCCCCAGTGTTCTGAAATCTGCGCGTTAGTTCTTCATGAATGGGTAGCTTTCTTGGTCGAGGCACCGGTATGATACAGCCCCACCCCTGCTGGGCACCCAGCATGGCATCTCCTCATCGTGTGGTGCTCGTGGGCAGACACGCAATACGCAGGGGTCTTTGGTTCTGGACGTGGAACCCTGGGAAGTGTGGTTTCTTTACCTTGAATGCTCTGCAAATGTCTTTCCTACACAAACGGCCATTTTTTGATAGTTTCAACATTTATGTCAAATGGTTTACGTTCCAGGGCACAAACAGACATGGCATTAACATGCCTGTTGGATATTACAGTGTATTTTAGTGCCCTCTCCGAGTACTGGCAGAGCAGCAGGCCGCTGCAGGTGCGTGTGCTGGGCCAGGGTGCCTGCCTTAGCGTGATGACAGGGAGCGTGGCACATCTCTCTGTAGTAAATGGTAAGGTCTGGAATGCATCTCCCAGAGACTGCTGTATCTTGCTGGTGAGCTTGCACTTCCAGGGGGACAGGCAACCAGGGTTCGCTTCTGGGATAACATTTGAGTTTTCTTTTTCTTTTTCTTTTATTTTTCAAAGAATAGTCAGTTGACAGTGTCATGCTGGTTTCTGCTGCACATATGCTCCACCTTGTGTCTAAATCAGGCTTTGGCGTCTTCCTTCATCTTTCACCTGCTGCTCTTTATTAAGCTCTTTTCTTTAGTTATGGACCTTGGCCTCCACCTCATCTTCATGTGTATTTTGATAAGTATTTTTTTTAAACAGGTACTTTGAGGTATAGCATATGATTTCACATGTTTATAGTCTTTTTTTCCCCTAATAATTAAGCACCGTTTCAATCCTCTAATAGTCTGAGGATTAGAGTCAGAATTGATACAACTTGTAAGAGTATAAAGAGAATGCTTTTAAGGCCACAGAGAGCATGGATTTTCTGAGAGTCATGTGGCCTTGGGATCTGCTGAGCTGGTTAGGGCCCGTCCACCAGCTCAGTGACCCTGGGGAATTGCACATTTGAGCCTCTGCTTTCCTAATATGTAAAATTGGGGTTAATTTTATTTGCCTTGTAGGTTTTTTTTTATCTTTTACAGCTAATGAGATTATATGTGTGATGGGCTCAGAACATTGGCTAGCATACCTTAAGCTCTCGATAGAAGAAAAGTTATTCCTTCTTGAGTGCTT